AATCCTTTGATAGATGTGAGTTTGAACTTTGAACTGATCTTAGAATGGTCAAAAACATGGGGAATGAAAAAAAAATGCACAGTACCTAAGGATTGGCCCAAATAACCCTAACAAAGACTATATTCTTAATAAGTCTGCTTTGACATCAGTAAATGAACAAAATGATCTGGGAGTTGTAGTAACAACCGACTTGAAGTGGGACAATCACATATTTAAAATAACTAAAAAAGCTAACTCCTATATATATCTACTTAATTAATCACGCCTTTAGAGACCACTGCATTGAGATATCTACCCTTTACAAAAGCTATATAAGGCCAAAAATAGAATATGCTTATACTGTGTGGAATACATAGATATAGATATAGAACTTCTTGAGAAGATTCAGCGCAGAGTGACAAAAATTCCCCCACAGTTGAAACAGTTGCCATATCCGGAAAAATTACTCATCTCTTAAAGAAAGAAGGCCCTACAACCTACAAAATAATCAGTGATTAGTGATTACTATCAGAGTAAGAAATGATCAGCCAATCAAATTCATTTTGATGCCATTTTGTGGTTTTTCATTGACATCAGAAAATTAAACAATCAATTCTTTAGATCTTCAAAGTCTAGAGTCTTTAAATTTTAAATTTTTGAAGTCTTAAGTTATAAATCATAAAGCTTTTGATTCTTTACAATCCTCAGAGCATTTGGAATGTTTAAATCTTCAGTGTTTTGCTCTGTGTTTTTTTCCAAATCTTTGGTCCTACCTAAAGCATGAGCTTCAAAAGTCTCAGGAATATCAGTTAAGTTTAGATTTTCAGCGTCTTCGAAATCCATGAAGTCTCTCATTATTTATTTTAAAGAGCAGCTGAAATTTTCAGTCCTCCATTAGTATAAGATGAGTTATTTAATCCAAGGCTGAAGGGGTCCACACTGAGATAACATTTTTGTTGTTTTAAAGGTTTCTCAAATTATTGTATAAGAAATGTAGCAACAAATGTTCCCTCATTATTGACACTCCACCTACAGCCTTTACCTTTACAGGTAGAAGAAAGGTGTAAATACAAAAATTGTACAGTTTTGGCTGAATTTTTAGAAACCATGTCCGAAACAAAATTTGATTGTCAGACATGTGAAATTTTGCATACTTCCAACTTTTTTCCAATGGGATACCCTATATTTTATTCTATATTCTTGAAGAGCACAATGCGCCGATTCCAAAAATATATAGTTTGTCTAAAAATACTATCCTACTACGGATTTTGTGAACCATTCTACCTATACAGGTGAAAGCTGCAGGTAAAATTTGAGGTAGGTACTTGGTTTCTCTGATAGTATTTTTAAAATTTTTTGAACCAAATATGTTGGAGACGGCTCAACCAAATATAGACAAACTATATAGTTTTGAAATCCGGAAAATGTGCTTTTCAAGAATATAAAACCAAATATAGGGCATCCCATTTGAAAAAAGCTGAAAGCATGCAATATTTCACCTTTTTGACATTCAATTTTTGTTTTTGACCATGGATTCTAAAAATTTAGTTGATACTGTACAACTTTTGTATTTATACCTTTCATCTGCTTGTGAAGGTGAAGGCTGTAGGTGGGGTGTTAATATATAAAAAAACACCCTATACTTGAACAATAACTTATTATACAGGGTGGCGCAAAATGAACGTTATGATTTGATTGTTTTATAACTTCTTTATTTAAATTTTTAATTTCTCTTTCGTTTTAGAATTTTGTAGAGAAGACTTGGGGAATTTAAAATGGAACAATACACAATACAACAACGAACAAAAATCATTATATTTTACTTTGCGAATGGAAACTCAATTATTGTTCTTACGCAGCGTGCATTTCGTCGGTATTTTAATGTGCGTATTGGACCCTCCGTGTCAACAATAAATCGTCTGGTTGCAAATTTTCAGCAACAAGGTTCAGTTAGGAACCTCCATGGTGCCGGAAGACCACGTAATGAAATCCGTGCCATAACTCCTGAAATTTTGCAAAAAGATATGCAACATGTGTTGGAAAGAGCACGTCTTTGCGAAGCAGAAAATGGCAGACACTTGCGAGATGTCATTTTTCACATTCGAGTCAAAAATTTTCTCCATTCATAAACTGTGTTAAAAAAAAATATTTCAACAATTCACTTAAAAATTAAAAAGTTATAAAGCATTCAAATCATAACGTTCATTTTGCGCCACCCTGTATAAAGTCGGAATTTGAAGATTATCCACTTTTTGTCAATTTGCCTTTTAACAGGAATTAGTAATGTTACTTTACAAAACTAGTAACATAATGTGACAATTTATTCAAGTACAAATGAGTGAATTATTGCGGAACTTATGGGTGGACCTCTGCGGGACGAGCGTAGCGAGTTCCGCAGCCATCTATTTATTATACGTTGTCAAGTACAATAAAATCCTGACTCACTCAAATGTCAGTTATTCTCATTAGTTCAAAAACTACACATTTCAGGTGAGTATCTTATTTGAATAGTTCAACAGTATATTGGTGAGTAGATGGCTGCGGAACTCGCTGCGCTCGTCCCGCAGAGGTCCACCCATAAGTTCCGTTAAAATCCACTCATTTGTACTTGAAAAATAACTTATTATACGTCCCACAACGTTTTTCTCAGGTAATAACTTCGGAAAGCGTCATCCAATATAATTGAAATTTTGAGGATCTGAGTAACTTGTTGTACCGCTTCTACCAATGTCATCCAATTTCACCACTTTCGCTTCACTTTCGGTAAAGTGACGTCAACTTTCGAATCTTAAATGTAACTCATGGTATATTATGACATTTTTCGTTGGAAAATTAAATTACAAAATCGGCAATTCCATATTTGTTAAGGCTTCGTTAAAAAAAATGATAAAAAATGATACAGTGGAACATACGAGGATGCGTTCTGAAGTTATCATTTGGGAAAAACCTCGTGGGATACCCTGTAGAAAGTCAAAATTTGTAAGATTATAATTATTTACTTTTTGTCAATTTTTTATCAAACTAGTAACATAATGTGACAAGTTATTCAAGTACAAATGAGTGAATTATTGCGGAACTTATGGGTGGACCTCTGCGGGACGAGCGTAGCGAGTTCCGCAGCCATCTATTCATTAAACGTTGTCAAGTACAATAATAACCTGACTCACTCAAATGTCAGTTATTCTCATTAGTTTAAAAACTATACGTTTCAGGTGAATGTCTTATTTGAACAGTTCAACAGTATATTGGTAAGTAGATAGTTGCGGAACTCGTTGCGCTCGTCCCGTAGAGGTTCACCCATAAGTTCCGCAATAGTCTACTTATTTATACAGGGTATTTTTTTTAATATTTTGACACCCCACTTACAGCCTTTACTTTTACAGGTAGAAGAAAGGTGTAAATACAAAAGTTGTACAGTTTTGGCTGAATTTTTAGAAACCATGGTCAGAAACAAAATTTGAATGTCAGAAATGTGAAATTTTGCATGCTTCCACCTTTTTTCAAATGGGATGCCTTATTTTATTTCATTCTATATTCTTGAAGAGTACAATGCCCCGATCTATATTTGATTGAGCAATTTCTCATATATTCGGCTCCAAAAATTGTACAAATGCTATCCTACTACTGATTTTGTGAATCATTCTACTTGTACAGGTGAAAGCTGCAGCTAAAATTTGTTCTTGGTTTCTCTGATAGTATTTTCAAAATTTTTAGAACCAAATATGTTGGAAACGGCTAAACCAAATATAGACAAACTATATAGTTTTGGAATCGGGAAAATGTGCTCTTCAAGAATATAGAACCAAATATAGGGCATCCCAATTTGAAAAAAGTTGAAAGCATGCAACATTTCACCTTCCTGACATTCAATTTTTGTTTCTTACCATGGACTCTGAAAATTTAGCCAATACTGTACAATTTTTGTATTTACACCTGTCATCGTTAAAGGCTGTAGGTGGGGTGTCAATATATAAAAAAAACACCCTGTACCTACAAGATTTGAAGCTAGTTTGTAAGCAGCTAAACATTACTGACAATCACTTTTATCTGTGACAAAATTCCTCATCAACGCTTCTACTAACTAAAAATCTAGCACAATGGGTGGTTCATTAATCAAATTTTTAGGGCATCATAAAAATACCTATTTCAGACTAACTTTAATTCCTCACTTGGCAACGGTCTCCATCCTGTGTAGAGTGTCGTTTCCTTATCTACCTAGATTGAATAATTACAAAATAATGAACCGAAGGTCGTCCCCCGTTTAAGTGCAACCTTTTATACAAGTGTTTCAGTAGTTTGTTAGTTTTTCGAAAAAATTCTCGCGGGAAACCCTGTCATATAAATTGGTCATAGTTTAATCTCCTAATTATAACTTAGTCGATGTTTACTCACTAAAGTAGCGCGAAATTGTGTACTTAACTATTACTAGAAAATATTTCTGGCCTGGTTTTTGTTATTATAATGGTTTTGAGTTTTAACATTTCATGTAAATATTTATTCTCGGTTGGTAAGAAGGCACTTTATTCTTAATTAATTCATGCTAGTCACCTTCAGCCCTACAATTACATTTATACTATTCCACTAATTAAAAATTCAATAGTCATAATAATTAGCAGGCTTTAGTTAATTGAGTTGTTTAAGTTTTTACACGAAACGTTTTTAGCTGGCAAAACGATTATTGAATTTTAATTATTTATAATCCTGATGGGCTTTTTCTTTCAAACTATAGATACCTTATCAGGACGAATATTATTTTTAAGGTCAGGATTAATTTATTAATGGACCACCCAGTGAGATGATGTCGAAATCTTATTATATTGTTCATTTTAAAAGAATACTGGAGATATTTTTGCTGTCGAAAAGGAGAAAAGCGTCACAGATAAAGGCAAGTTTACATTTTAATAATTTTTAAATGTGGGTGGGGGGTCCTATTGTTGATTTCATAATAATGCTTCAACGACAAAGCAAGGTGCACACTGAAAAATTATTTGATTTATTATAAAGTCTTAATTTTATTTCAGATTTCTGAAGAGCACTTTAGTCAAAACTATCCCAATGTCCGTACAGTGGCTATCAAAAAGGTAATATTCTGTATGTGGTGCATTATAATTATTATTAGTAAATAAATGTTTTATTGTTTTAATTGCTTATTAGCTGCTGTTTGAAATAATTTTAAAATGTGTGTTATTTGTGTTTATTTTATTTTTTTCTCTTCTTTAAAGCTACCAGGTCAGAGTTTGGGTATTATGATAATTGAAGGTAAACATGCGGAAGTTGGACAAGGTATATTCATTTCGGATATTCAGGAGGGTAGCTCTGCGGAAAAGGTATGCATTTGAAAAAAGCATGATGTATTTTTATTTTAGTAGTTTTTGATTGTATAAAATAACTATTATTTTATTGAAGTTTCCAATTTGTTAAAATTATACAACCAAAGCCCAGTTTTCTGTTTGATTATTAATGTATGGTTTTTTTGTTAAATTGCAAATCTTGCTAGTTATAAAACTAACTATACTTTAACTATTATTAAAAAAACTGGCTGTTAAATTGAATTTGATTTAATTTAGAAATTGTAGCTTTTTCCTTTATTTGCCTCAATGTGTGTTTTTTGTTTTAAAGGCAGGCCTTGAAATTGGAGAGATGATATTAGCTGTCAATAAAGATTCTCTTGTGGGCTCCAACTATGATACGGTAAGAATATTTGCCTCAATTTGTTATAGAAAACTAATAAATGCAAAACGTTTATGCTTAGATAACGAGATAAGCAAAATAATTAAACTGATACGCACAATTCTGGTGCTTAACGTTATAACATCTTTGCATTTATTCGTGTGTGTTTTTGATTTTGCTATGCAGCAGCATGTTTTTTGATGGTGAGCGGCCCAGTTTTCCATTCCAGAACAATTATAATCCTGCTCTAAATTTGTCTTGTTTATTTTCAGGCTGCAAACCTACTAAAACGAACAGAAGGTCTTGTATCGCTAATAGTTTCAAAACCCGTTAAAAAGGACCAGGCAAATTCGCTTGCAGCTGCCCCATCGAGCAATGCAACCGACGCTAAAGGCCTAAAAACACCAACGACACCTTCTAGGCCTACTACACCTGTACCTGAACCTCCGGCGGATCCTCTAACTTGTCCAATAAACCAAGGAAGAGAGACTGTGATCGAAATAGCTACCAATAATGAAGGTTTAGGTGTCTCGTTTATTGGTGGAAAAGATACTGTTATAAAAGTAATAATACATATTTTATAATAATTACAATTATTATTACAATAAATTTTTTAGGACACTATAATCCTGACAGATGTATATTCAGGAGGAGCTGCTGATAAAGATAAAAGGTTGCAGGCAGGAGATCAAATTCTCGAAGTCAATGGAATTTCACTTAGGGATAGTACAAGCACAGCTGCGACTCAAGCATTAAGACAAACACTGCCAAAGGTAATTGTTAACAACTTACTTTCACAATTCTAATGCTAATATATATATATTTTTTTTTTTAAGATGAAAATTACTGTATTTAGACCAACAAATCTGGAATATACCACAATTGAAACTGACTTAATCAAGAAACCTGGAAAAGGTCTTGGATTGAGTATCATAGGAAGAAAATCTGGAAAAGGAGTTTATGTAGCTGATATTGTAAGTAATCATAATATTGTCCGAATAATTATTTGAATAATATGAATTATTTAGATTGCTGCAAGTGCTGTGGAAGTAGATGGAAAAATTAGCAAAGGTGATATACTAATTTCTGTCAATGGACAAAATGTAGCTGAATCAACTAGTGACATAGCAGGGGCCATACTAAAGACTGCGTTGGGTAAAGTTTCCCTGAAACTGCATAGATATAAACCTAGTACAAGTAACCAATAACCTTAAATGAAAAAAATAAGTAGATAAGTTTCCAAAATGTTTTCATTAACTAGAATTATTATGCTACTTATGACTGATTATACTTATTATTGAAAGAATATCTTTCTTAAACGTTTCAGTTGTGGAAAGAATATTATGATTGCTTTTTCTTTTTAGAATTAAATCTAATTATACATAATTGTTAGTAATAAAAGAAAAAATGTTTGGTCAATAATGTTGATGGTCTTTTTCTCTGTGCAAAAGAAACAGAAATTAATTTCAAAGTTTGAATTTCTGGTTCCTTGTTGCAGCAAAATGTGGTTCATTTTATGTGATTGTATTGAATTTTTTGTGTGTATTTACTCAAAACAAAATATTGAAGCCTCAGTTTGCAGTGAGTAGGAATTTTTTGATCTTATTTCAAAACTGTATTTTCTTCAAATATCTGGAAAAAATGTTCTTGAAAAGTTCAAAACTAAATAAATACTTCTTCTCTAAATCACATTTTTTGAACCTCAAAACTACACTTTGTAAAATTATTAGATTTTTAAAGCAAGTGTGATATTCATTGTCCTTTGTATATAAACGTAGAGTCCTGTATTTACTATATAAATATATAAAAATAGCTTCGAAGGGCTATATAGAATCAAATGTTTGAATTTCAATAATTTTTAACTGGAACAAGAATAACAAAAAACGATTTCGGTTTTGCGGTTTAAGTATCAGATATTTCTGGAATATCTTTTTTCTGAGGCTGGATTTGTACTATAGAAAGCTTCAAAGGTTCTTGATTGATTATTCGAGTGCGGCATTAATTGAAATGTGTTTTCTTCAGATTTTTTTCTAATGGTAGGAAATCGGTCTGAGCTAAAGCAGAATTCTTAGGATAAATATATATTCCAGTATTCTCGTGATGTCTTTTTTTGAGATAAAAAGAATGTGGTAAATTTGTAGGCCGAAGGAAAGTCTCACTAGTGTTAATTCCTCATCATTTCAATTTCAAATTTCTTATGTAAATCTTCAAAAGTATTCCACATTCTCAAGTTTTTTATTGTATTAGAGACACCAAAAAAAACTCAAATTACAAATCAAAAATTACACTTTCAATTACTAATTTCTAATGAAATATAATACATGTCACCAAAAACAACTACTAATCATTCTTGTTTTAAATGTTGTAAATAAAATTTAAATTATTGTAAAATTACTTTAAACCGAAATTGTTTGTGCAATTTGTTAGTTTTAGGAAATATTCGTAATGTTTGTAACATGTTTGCTTTATAAACTCAATAATCGATCTATTTCTGGTTTACCAATAAAGCCTCCTTTATTTTTGTAGTATGTTAATAATAATTTCAATGTTCAAATACTTATATTAAAAGCAAGAATTTTCTCACATAATTAGGTAAATATAAAACAATTTACTATATTTAGGTATTTTAATGAATTAAGTAGGTCTACAATTTTAACTAATTACCTTTTTTTTTGTACTATAGCCTAATGTAGGTATATTAGAAATACTATATAATTTGCCAGAAAAAAAATTATATCATTTCTATCTTTATAATAATTAAGGTTCAACGCTGTAGAAAATTGTATAAGCGAGAGAAAAATGTATAAATTTTTATGATATTAGCAATAAAATCATCTCATGTTGTTAGTTAAGTTTAAAATTTGTTGTTTTATTTGTCAAGGAATTCAGATAACCAGATTACAACTCTAGTAGAATAAGATTTGAAGAACATTATTGGTTTGATTACCAGATGTAATAGGAAAAAAAATCACTGTTGCATCATTCTTTTTATCACTCTGTTATTTGCAATGACATCTTAACATAGATAGACCGAGTCATGGTGGGGATGCACCAGAGGTGTTACTCCCATCTAGTATACCTCTTATTCACTTGACCAAAATAATGAACCAATGCGCACAGGTCAAACTCGTTTATCTATCTGCCTTTAACTTATGATATAAATTCGATAGGCGTGTTAACATAGAGGGGATAAAATCAGAGGTGAATCGATTTCCTAGATGTTTGCAACACAAAATTTTGTCTATCTGTGTTAATGAGGTTATTACTGTTATAAGTCTTTGTGGTCTTGTCTTATTCAATCTCAAAAAACAGTTTTTTTGCCCACCATTTTGATGGAAATCCAAGTTTCCCATTTTTAAAACCGCAATCTGAGAAAATATCTAAATTCGGACCAATGTATAGCCGTTTTCCTTATTAATTTCCCATCATTTTCCCTCTGATCACAACTAACTGAACCTCTATGTTGGCTTAATTGATAAATAATGCTCCTTGGTATAATGTGAGCTACTTTGAATTGATGAGGAGGCGGGACTTTCAGTATCAACGACTTAAAATGTTTCCACACAATGCTTATTTACTTGAAATATACAAATCAACTCAAAAAGAATATAGGAAATCACTAATTGAATCAAAAAAAGCTTATTATAATGCCGAAATAAGTGAAGCAAGGAATGACCTTAAACAAACATAGAGAACACTAAACACTATAATTAACAACTCCAAACCCAGGAAAGACTGCTTGCTACCCAAGTTACATGAAGGACACACTGTGCAGAACTCACAGGATGTTGCCAACTTACTAAACCAATACTATTCCAGAATTGCTGCAGAACTAGCAAAAAACATCCCCCCAACAATTTTTTCCTCTCAACTCCAACCAACATCTACTGCCTCCATAAATCAACCTGTAACTACAGAGGAGGTCACTGCAGTTATGAACAAATTAAAACCAGAAAAATCACCTGGAACTGACAGCTTGGGCATTGATACAATCAAGGAATTGAAAAATAATGAAATATCGCCTACTTTATGTAAGTTGATAAATCTTATTTTTAGGCGACTGTCACAAAAAGATTAGTTTTACGGATTCAATATCATCCCTAAAGTATATCTTTTTTGGCCGCATTTACTTCACGGCCGCATTCACTTCACGGCCGCATTTGCTTTATTACTTTACGGCCGCTTTTACTTCACGGCCGCTTTTACTTTACGGCCGCTACTTTGGTGAAAATAAACAATTTTTTCTATAATCACACTCTCTTTACCGTAGTTTTTGTTATTAATAATTGTGTATCTACCTATCTTTGCTGGATTATTTATTTGATCAATAAAGTTTAAAGCTACTGTTGAATTTTCTTCTTTTTTCAAGAACAAACACTCGCCTAAAAAATTTTGTGTGCACCTCGGCCGAATGATCTTTTTTGGCCTCACCTGAAATTTGCTTGACCTCGGCTGCGCCTCGGCCGCAAATTCCTGATTCGGCCAAAAAAGATCAACTTTACGGCCTTGGTACACAAATAACTATTTTGTCATACGCTCCCAAAAACAGCTATTTTACGGACTCATTCAAGTTCGTGAAATGCTTCTTTTCAGGATTTTTTTTTCTATCTGGATGCACCTTTATGATTTCAAAAATTAAGGAAATTTTGCAAATTTTAGCATTTTGAAGAATTCTAAAAAGCGTATGACAAAAAATAATGTTTGTCACACGTACCTAACGGAGTTTTTCAGGACTCATCTGCAATTCCGGACTCGGCTGACGCCTCGTCCGGAAACAGCAATGATTCGTCCTACTTGTGACAAAAATAACTATTTTATTACCTACTGCATCTGTGCCCAGTTTGTTTAAAATGGCAAAGGTTGTCCCTTTATTTAAGGGTGGTGATAGCACAGAACTAAACAACTCCAGGTCCATTTCCCTGTTCCCAGCTATGTCTAAGGTATTGGAGACCTGTGTAAGATTAACCAGTTATTTGCATGGATGGAATAAATTTGTGGTATGCGGGTTAATATGGATTCAGAAAACAAAATACCTCCTCAATAATTACAGACCTATTTACAAATAAACTGCTGGACAATTGCTTTCGAATAAGGTAAATATCGCCTAACTTTCAAGCTCGATATTTTTGGAACCAGACTAGATATCGGCCTGCGGTTTTCACGGGCTGACAGATTGACTTTTTGTGAAAAAAATTGCTATTTTGATTTTTTTTTAAATATCTACTTTTTTTTTATACAGGGTGTTAAAAGAATCCATGATTTTCATCCCAATTTTGAATGTGTGTAACTTTCTCAAATAATTTTTTAAATTTTATTTCTATGCGGCGTTTTAATCAATGATCTTCTGCAAAAAAAGTAATTTCTCAAATTTTTTATACCTGCCTTAGTTTTAAAAATATCGACTTTTTTTCATAACCACCACTTTTTTCAACTTTTAAGCACCTAAACCATCCTGTATCTTATGCTGCTGTTTGATATACCCCACGATATCCTGGTTTATTTTCAATGAAAAAAAAAATACTTAAATAATGTGGTGTCCAGTAGCGTACTAATAATCGCCCATTTTCGGAATAATTTATTAATAGCTCACCGATTTTTACATTCAAAGGTGCATAATTTTAAAATAATCATCTGAAGTTTCATTTGTTTAGTTCACTTTAATCATTGACATATTATTAAGAAACCAATTTCTCAAAATTTTGATATTTGCCTTTGGTTTTAAAATATCGTTTATTTAACATAACCAAATTAATTTTTTCGATTTTTCCGTTCTAAACCATCCTGAATCGTTCTTACCGGTGAATTTTTTTAGCAATTGTTATACCTTTCAGCCAGCGTATTTACTATGATTAAAAATATCGAATACCTCAATGATATGCTGTACAGTGGCGTGCAAAGAGAAATTATTATTTTTCATTAAATCAATTTTATTAGCAATTGTTATATCTTTCGATTGGCGTATTTTTATGATTAAAAATTTCGAATACCTACCTCAATGATATGCTATACAGTGGCGTGCTAATAATTATTTATACCACTGTTAAAATTTAAATATTCGGAACCGATTTCGTTGTGGTGAGAGGAAACCCGAATTTTTATTACCTGCTAATTTTCTTTGTAGCTTCATTTTTAAAGGTATTCCAATTAAACATTCTTCCACTAACAATAGCAGTATCACAAAATAAAGTTAAGGATGGTAAATTACATTATCTGCCAAACAAAAAAAATTATATGAATAACGTTAATGCTTCTTTAAGTTGATTCAAAACAAAACACAAAAAGTGTTTCTATAGGTTTTTTACGTTATGTTTAGGATGACGTCGTAGAACAAGTACTGACAATCTTGTCAATGCCTATTTTTTTCCTTATAATTTACCAGAATGTAATAAAAAAATATCAAGACCACTGACAGCTAGAAATAACAAAATGAATCTATACCTGTTATTTATTTGAAAATGTTTATTCATATCATAGGTACAACGTCGCGCGCCGTTGTCAACCGGTAACATCTGAAATTCCCCTACTTTAAATGCGTTAAGAAGTACTTTCAGTTTAGTTAGGTAGATACCTAGGTAAAACGAATCAAAATAAGTGAACTAAAAAACTAATCAAAGTAAGATTCAATAACAACAACAAAGTGACCTAAAAGTTAAGTAATAAACAACGTAAACTATAAAAATTAATTAAGAACGGCCGATAATCAAAGTTATTTAATTAATAGCTAGTAAGCCCTCCCCTCACATTCACAACCTCTTGGCATCGCCGTGGCATGTTGTCAACCAAGAGATTAATGAATGCCTGAGGGATATTTTGCTACTCTTCTTCTATGGCAAGTGCGAACTTATCCAGCGTTTGGGAGCATTTTCGCGCGTTCATACCAGTAACTTAAGCTGAGACCACACAAGATCAGGAGATTTTGGAGGCAGGTTAAACTGTTGCATGTTATGCTCCCCCAAAAGCTCCTAAACAATTGCTTGCTTTGTGTGGTCTTGCATTATGGTCAACCATGAAGAAATGCTCTCCAATATTTTCTGCATATGGAATAACAATGTCATTTATTATGTGATTCCGATAAATTACGGCGTTAACAGTACCCCGTGAAATGTATAAGTCAGATCTATCGTTGTACATCACTCCGGACCAAACATAAAACCCTCCTTCTCCAAAGGTTCCCTGAGAAGCCATGTTGTCTTCTTCAAATCCCTCCCCAGGTTGCCTCCATACTAACTCCCTACCATCGGAGTGTATCAGGTTGAACCGCGATTCGTCGCATAAGAAACACATTCGCCACTCATGTAATGCCTTGATTAACAGAAAATGAAAGGAATAATTAGCTTATTCGCCTTTTAAATAAAGACTTAAGCTAAAGAAGTAAAGACATGTAGCGCGAATATATTCGGTAAGCGGCAGCACTATAAATTACCTAAAACATTGAAAAATAGCCCAGGATAACGGAGCTATGATTTTTACAATTAAATAGACACACTTAGTGATATCTTTGCCATGGCCTGATGGCCTCATTCCTGATTTTTTTTCTAAACATTCTGAAAACTTCGATTAACCAAATATTTTTTTATTTATTAAGGAAGCTTTTAGCTTCAACATACTAAAATTTTATATAGAAATAGACCAGAATAACGGAGCTATGATTTTTACAATCATTTATTAAGGACGCTTTTAGCTTCAACATATTGAAATATTATGGAGAAATACTCGAGGAAATACTCCAGGATAACGGAGCTATGATTTTTACAATCAGGTAGACACACTGCTCTGAATCCTGTCTTCGTTTTTTGATATTCGGCTATTCTGCTTGCGAGCAAAAGGGTGGTAAGTCTGTGATAAGACAGCAGCCGAAACCCAGCCAGTAGGTAGGAAGAGCCCGGCTGGCGTCTCTCAATACCAATTCCTGTGCCTGTGGTGCCTATACTGAATATCTCCTATTAAAGGGGGTGTAACCTTAAAATACAACTTGTATTCAGAAAATAAAGAAGAAAATTCTAAGAACTCTTGTGAAAATCTCGCATCGCTACCCAAAATAATAAGGTAGATACGACTAAATAAAATTTTGTCTATTCATCGCGTGACGTCATAAATACACGCAAAAATTGCAAAACCTATTTAAACTGACGCAGCAATAGGTGTGAGAACGCAAAAACGATACGATAATGTCGATAATAGCTCTTCTGCAACCGACATGAGAAACGTTCTAGAACGGTAATTTCCAGTTGATCAATTCATTAGTCAAGTAGAATAAATGTTCAACTTATTGAAAAATAGGTGGATAACTGGAAATTACCGGTTCTGGAACGGTTCTCCTGTCGGTAGGAACTGAGCTAACATATGCAGCAAAAATCAGCAAACGCGCGCCAGCGCCGGCTGTCGGACTCAGTTTGTGCATATGACGTCACAGTGTTAGGAGTAGGAATTTTATATCACAGTATCTTCGCAACAGTTGGTCGTAACCAAGTGCGGTTTGAAAATTTGTTCTTAGATTTTTTTTTCTAAAAAACACCCCGTTTAAGATTATTGATAGCAATAATTTAAGTTGTTTTTAATTCGAACAATACTTGATTGAAAAAATACTTAAATTATTTATTGAAGTATTTCTACGTGAATGTCATTTCAAGTACGCAAGTTTAAGTGAATACTAACTTGACTCTGACTTTCGTGGAATTTGGTACTCGTACTTGAATTTGGGCAATTCAAGTCAATTTACTTGACATTTTAAGTATTTTCTTTTGTAATTATACTTGTACTGGTACTTGATTCGTATTGAAAAAGAAACTTGTACTTGATACTTAAGTACTTTTTCTTGGTATATACTTAAAACAGCTCTGATCGGTGGATAGAGTATACGATTCGCATTTACTTAATTAGGGGCGCCAAAGTCAGATCTCGCTCCATCCTAAAAGTAATCTCGGGCCGGCACTGATCATGGTTGACGATAATGCGAGACCACACAAAGCAAGAATTCTTTAGGAGTTTTTGGGGGACCATAACATGCAACAGTTACACCTGCCTCCAAAATCTCCTGATCTTATGTGGTCTCCGCTTAAGTTACTGGTACGATCGCGCGAAAATGCTCCCGAACGCTGGATGAGTTCGCACTTGCCATAGAAGAAGAGTGGCAAAATATCCTTCAGGCATTCATTAATCTCTTGGTTGACAACATGCCACGGCCGGCGATGCCAAGAGGTTGTGAATGTGAGGAGAGGGCTTACTAACTATAACTTTGATTATCTGCCGTTCTTTATTAATTTTTTTAGTTTACGTTGTTTATTACTCAATTTTTAGGTCACTTAGTTGTTGTTATTGACTCTTAGTTTGATTAGTTTTTTAGTTCACTTATTTTGATAAGTTTTACCTAGGTATCTACCTAACTAAACTGAAAGCACTTCTTAACGCATTTAAAGTATGGGAATTTCAGATGTTACCGGTTGACAACGGCGCGCGACGTTATATGATTTGAATAAACATTTTCAAATAAATATCACGTGTCGATTAATTTTGTTATTTCTAGCTGTCAGTGGTCTTGATAATTTATTATTACATTCTGGTAAATTATAAGGAAAAAAAAGGCATTGACAACATTGTCAGTTCTTGTTTTACGACGTTATCCTAAATATAACGTAAAAAACCTATAGGAACACTTTTTGTGTTTTGTTTTAAATCAACTTAAAGAAGCATTAACGTTGTTCATATAATTTTTTGTTTGGCAAATAATGTAATTTACCATCCTTAACTTTATTTTTTGATACTGCTACGATTAGTGGAAGAATTTTCAATTGAAATACCTTTAAACATGAAGCTACAAAGAAAATTAGCAGGTAATAAGAGTTCGGGTTTCCTCTCACCACAACGAAATCGGTTCCGAATATTTAAATTTTATCAGTGGTATAAATAATTATTAGTACGCCACTGTAAAGCATATCATTGAGGTATTCGATATTTTTAATCACAGTAAATACGCTGGCTGAAAGGTATAACAATTGCTAAAAAAATTCATTTTTAAGAACAATTCGGGATGGTTTAGAACGGAAAAGTTGAGAAAATTAATATGGTTATGTTAAATAAACGATATTTTAAAAACAAAGGCAAATATCAAAATTTTGAGAAAGTGGTTTCTTAATAATATGTCAATGATTAAAGTGAACTAAACAAATGAAACTTCAAATGATTATTTTTAAAATTATGCACCTTTGAATCTAAAATTCGGTGAGCCATTGATAAATAATTCCGAAAATGGGCGATTATTAGTACGCTACTGGACACCACATTATTTTGGTTTTTTTTTTTCATTGAAAATAAACCAGGATATCGTGGGGTATATCAAACAGCAGCATAAGATGCAAGATTTATTGTACAGAATGGTTCAGGTGCCTAAAAGTTGAAAAAAGTGGAGGTTATGGAAAAAAATCGATATTAGGCAATTCAAACCACGTGACATTCAAGATGGCGTGGCGGCCACACATGGACCAAAAAACACAAAAAAATATCTAATTTCTGCCAGATTTGATAGTTTAGGTACCTAGTCAACAAATAGTTTATTAAATAATCAAAATTAAAGTTGCAAGCAAAATTCCAAGCGAAATAATTTAAAATACGCATAAAAACATATTCAAAACAGACTTCCTTGGCCGCCACGCCATATTGAATTTTCCTTTTTGACAGATGGATTGAATTGCCTAATTTTTAAAACTAAGGCAGGTATGAAAAATTTGAGAAATTACTTTTTTTGCAGAAGATCATTGATTAAAACGCCACATAGAAATAAAATTTAAAAAATTATCTGAGAAAGTTACACACATTCAGAATTGGGATGAAAATCATGGACTCTTTTAACACCCTGTATAAAAAAAAATTAGACATTTAAAAAAAATTCTAAATAGCAGTTTTTTTCACAAAAAGTCAATCTGTCAGCCCGTAAAAACCGCAGGTCGATATCTATTCTGGTTCCAAAAATATCGATCTTGAAAGTTAGGCGATATTTACCTTGAATAAAGAATGAAGGCTTTCACGGCCGGTCAAATCTAGCAAAAAAGTTTTTTCCGGGCTATAATGCCGTGGTCCATTAGTATTTCTACCTAGAGAACACTTCGTCCTCTACCACACCGCCTCTGAAGATGTCTACCGCAGCAGTAGACGAAACGTTAGGTAGAAATACTAATGGACCACGGCATTATAGCCCGGAAAAAACTTTTTTGCTAGATATTTACCTTGTTCGAAAGCAATTGTCCAGCAGTTTATTTATGAGAAGGTTGATAAGAGATATGTGTGTACTTGTTTCGCTGGACTTAAGAAAAGCTTTGGACACAGTAAATCACAAAATTCTCGTGGAGGTGGTTGAAAAAACTGGTAATGAAGGTTCATCACTATACTGTGGTCTAGGAACTATCTATCCGGCAGACCACAGTATGTTGAATGTGAAGATATATAACAGAAGTAAAATGGAAAAAACATTACAGACACGGAGAGCCCCGAGGTTCAGTTCTGGGACCGCCACTCTTCCTAGTCTACATGAACTCACTGTCATACATACCTCTTCAGGGCTCTGTCAATTTATATGTGGATGATACCTACTTGCATCATTTATTTTGACAAGGTCCCTGCTAACTTAAAAATCATCATTGAAGAAGAGTTACAGAAAATAAGCGATTGGCTCCGTTATCACAAACTTAGTTTGGATGTGAAAAAATCAAGCTACATGGTAATATCAAAGTTGGAGTCCTGGCCTAACTTCACAATAAACTTTCAAGGTCTCCCATTGACTCGTGCAGAATCTGTCCATTACGCATCGTAAGATGATATGCAATTCCCTTATCCATGCTCACATGCTGCCATTTCTGTTTCCAACAAAAAATAGTATATTGTGTATTTAGGAGGAAAAGTGACACATTCTCGGCCGACGCGGTGTTAGGCCGAGGCCGAGAATGTGCTTTTCCACCGAAATGCACATACAATTTTTTCTGCGATCGGTTAAATATCTGTTAAATGTTTGTCTTTCTGTTCCAATTGTTCAGCAATACGAGAATCACTTTCCCGGCCTAGGCCGGGAAAGTGATTCCCGAAGTGTTATTCATTGATTCCTTAGCAGCTATTGAAACAATTAAAATACCAGAATATTGAGTTTTGCGACCTGTCAACCGGTCGAAAATGCTGACATATATTTCTTGTCAATCGCAGAAAAATTGTATTATCCGAATCGCATCCTGAAAATTCACTTCCTGTATATCTTGCAATAATCATGCATCTTTATCCATTCTTGCAAGACTTTCAATATTCACTCTATACAATAAGTCTCATCCCAGCCAACACAATCCATCACCACAATACCAGACTCAATGAAAACTTAAGAACGTCGGTAATGAATAATACAACTGGCCAACGCAGCATCTTATCAGAAGGACTAAGGTTCCACAATCGACCAGAATCTGTACAATGAAAGACTTTATCTGCAATTTAGAACTAATATATTCATAAATGCAACAACTTTGTGATACAGTACCTACTCGTACTGGATATTTTCTCCTGTGTGATATTGTATAATTTATAATAATACGGTATATTGTAATAATGTTATATGACCCGCATAGCTTTCCAGTTTAGGGTCTCTAGTTAAATAAATCTATTGTTTATAACTTTCATGTTTTAATAAAGGAAAAGAAAAAATTCAAAATAAAACTACTACATCGTTCAAAAAAACCTAATAAAATTTGTATTAAAAATCTTACAGACATATTTTACAAGTTCACGGATATTATGAAAACTACAAAAAGATTTGCAGATTTTTTAACATTACGGACACGAGAATAATTTTATTCAATTTACAAAACATTTCTTTAATTTTCTCCTTCCTCGGCCTCTTCTTCTTCGTCGAATTCGCCTTCCTCTTCCGCCGTGGCGTCTTGGTACTGTTGGTATTCCGACACCAAATCATTCATGTTACTTTCTGCTTCGGTGAACTCCATTTCGTCCATGCCCTCGCCGGTGTACCAATGAAGAAAAGCTTTTCGTCTGAACATGGCTGTGAATTGTTCTGAAATTCTTTTAAATAATTCTTGAATGCAAGTCGAATTGCCGATGAACGTCGAAGACATTTTCAATCCCCTGGGTGGTATATCGCACACTGCAGTTTTAACGTTGTTGGGAATCCATTCCACAAAATAACTACTATTTTTGTTTTGGATGTTTAACATTTGTTCGTCGACTTCTTTCATTGACATTCTACCCCGAAAAATAGCTGCTACGGTCAAATATCTTCCGTGTCTAGGGTCACACGCTGCCATCATATTCTTGGCATCGAACATTTGTAGAACTAATTCTGGTACGGTAAGGGCACGATATTGTTGACTGCCTCTGGATGTTAAAGGTGCAAAGCCAGGCATGAAGAAGTGTAATCGTGGAAATGGTACCATATTTACTGCCAATTTTCTTAAATCTGAATTCAATTGACCAGGGAATCTTAGGCAAGTAGTTACGCCGGACATTGTAGCGGAAACCAAATGATTCAAGTCGCCATATGTAGGGGTTGTAAGCTTCAATGTTCTAAAGCAAATATCGTACAGTGCTTCATTGTCAATGCAATAAGTTTCATCTGTATTTTCTACTAGCTGATGAACGCTCAAAGTGGCATTGTAAGGCTCAACGACAGTGTCTGATACTTTCGGCGACGGTACCACAGAAAATGTGTTCATAATCCTATCAGGATACTCTTCTCTGATTTTCGAAATGAGCAACGTGCCTAAACCAGACCCTGTTCCGCCTCCTAGCGAATGTGTAAGTTGGAAACCTTGCATGCAATCGCAGCCTTCGGCTTCTTTTCGGACAACATCCAACACGGAATCCACCAGCTCGGCGCCTTCCGTGTAATGGCCTTTCGCCCAGTTATTTCCCGCGCCGCTTTGTCCGAAGACAAAGTTGTCTGGACGGAATATCTGTCCGAATGGACCAGATCGGACCGAATCCATGGTTCCAGGCTCGAGATCGACCAGTACCGCTCTCGGTACGTATTTGCCACCGGTGGCTTCGTTGTAGTAGACGTTTATTCGTTCCAGTTGTAAGTCCGAATCGCCGTGGTACGTTCCGGTGGGGTCGATGCCGTGCTCGTCGGAAATAACTTCCCAAAACTGAAACAATCATATTTAGAATTTTTATTAAGATGATAATAAATGTTTTGGGGTTTTACCATAGATTCAGATCTCATAGTTGAGATTGAGAGAAATTTAGGAATTTAAGTCCTGAAATGACAACTCAGGAAGTTTTTCATCTCATAGATTTAATTCAGATGATTCAGATTCATTGCAATAGAAATACATCACAGGAAACAAACATGATCAACTTTATCATCAGATTTGGAAGAAAAAATCAAAAAGCTAACGAAGATTGAAGTCAGATTTGGTAATTTTTGTAAAAATTCCTGTAATTTTTCTGCAATAATTGCAATGTAGTGTGGTTCTAATGTAATTTTTAACTCACTTTGGCGCCAATTTGGTTTCCGCATTGTCCCGCTTGAATGTGCACAATTTCTCGCATCTTGAGCCGATTATTGTAGGTGAATTTTTGTGAAAGAAATTACCAAATTTAATGTTTTTTGGCAGTTTGTTTACGCTAGTTACTGCGCCCTGTTGTTTTTTTTTTTACTTTTCGTTGTTTCAAATTAGCCGCCTCGTCGAATTTTCCGGGGAATCACTTGTTCAAACACCATTACACGACGTTTTCAGTTTATTGCTGTCTTTGTTTGTTGCACTTATATTGACAAAGACAGATATATCAAATATGAGAAATTAAGGGCTTCCCACATTAACCTTGCGTTCGGTATTTTGCTCAAAGAGCAGAGCGTGCTGAGCGGAGCCGTTATCACGTGACCAGCGAGCGAACAGAGCAGTTGAACGCTGTGTCAAAGTGCCAAAAATGTATAAACAAACTCGAATGAGCCTGCACCGAGTACACTTTTTAAATAAACGAACGGTAAATTCAAGCTCAGAGAACTTAGATCAAAATACCGAACGCACGGTAAGCAGGAGTGTGTGTTCGATAACTCGAAGTAAAGTATAAGAAAATATCACACATTGAAAAAAAAATCATGTTCAGCGCCGTATGTGTGGTAAAAGTTAACTTCTATCGCTTCGTACCAATGACATTCTTCGTACATTGATTAATTGTATACGTGACGTCATGGGTTCATCGCGAGAATGTACATTTGGCCAAACATAAAACCTGGTACAGGAAATATATATTTTGTAGATTTGCCTAGTGTGAGTCAGGCTTAATAACACAAGTTTGTTCTGAAAAACTTAGGTCAGACAGTTTTTGTCAACGTCAAAGCTGAACAAAAGTAAATGCAACATGTTTTTGTTATGATTGGTTCAAATATGACACTAACTTGACTCTCCTTGTCATTGTTGAGGTGATAAAAAGGTCGATTTACACAAAACAACACAATAGGAAAATGCGTACCAGTTTTATGATTGGCCAAGTGTACTATTTCAAACCTGTTTTGAACCAGTTTAAAAAAAAATGCACGCGAGAAAACAGCTAAACAGCTTTGTGTTTTATAGCTCTAGCTCTTTCTCTTCTTCTCTCCTCTCTACAGCATATTTTTTTCTCTCTCGTGTAACGGAATGGGCCTAAGCGTGACACGTCTTTAAATCAATCTCCATTTTCAACCAAAGGCGATTTTCAGCCTGGAATGATTATTATTTGGTTATAACCAATGCATTTCCGCCGTCGCGGTTTTAACCAAAGTAGGGGAAGTTGTGATGTCACATATCAGCTGATTTGCTTTTGGTATTTACCATTTATAACCGATTATAACCCAGCTTTGGACTTGAGTTAATCTTTTGGTTACAGCTTTTTGATGTTATTGTTGTTATTTTTGGAATTTGTATTGGTTTTTTGTGATTTTGCAGTTGCGTTGTAGCCTGGCACAATAAAAGAAGTATACATTCACTCACTCACTGCAATTCACCATGTTTAGATCGAGGTTTAGATCATCCCCAAAGAAAATCTGTTCGATAAACGAGACTAACGAGAGATTCAGCTCCATTTTTTGTACCTGAACAAAAATCTGTTGCTGAAACGAAAAAACAAATAAGAATAATAAACATATTTCTACACTGCTATAACCAAATCATTTCAGCGATTAGTTCCTTGGGTTATGATTCTTGAATGGTGGGGGGCTATGACGTCACACTTGGCTGTCAAAGTTGTCAACCAAAAGAATAACCACGGTATTTACCGATAAATAATCATTCCAGGCTGAAAATCGCCTCAAATATCAGTATCAGATCGCCACCTGAGAATAAGTTTAAAGTCTGTTTTTTTTTTTAAAGATAATTTCCCAAGTCAAAAATTTAGTAACTATGTTGGCAACACAAGCCTTTTCTACATAAAAAATTTAAAAGCATTGACAATTTTACATTGTATTGCCAACATAATGTCATTTTGACTTTTATCTTTAAAAAAAAAACAGGCTTTACTTTAAAACTATCCCCCCTCATATAACGAGTCGGGCCAGCCATTCAGTCGGGGTAAAGATGAAGGATCACACAAAAGGGAGACGCGCATCTTCAGTGACGTTACAAGGCAATCTTCTTTGCTCATAATAGGGCACTTGTATGGAAAATTAAATTGATTATTGTTTATTGCAAACTGTAGGAAATCGAAAAAAAATCGTTCCTTTTTTTTTATTTTGTCCAAATATGATTATTTCGAAAGTTATACAAATATTGATTTTTGTATATATAGATATACTGAGCATGTGCGACGTCACAACGTATTATAAGTTATGACGTCAGAAGGACATTTCAAAGCGGTGTATCTTCGTCAATTTTTGACTAACAAGGAAAAGAAAAAAATACATGTTGACTTATTTTTCACATAGCAATAAAAAAATTTGATGCAAGGGGCCTAATCAATTGTTTGGCCATCCCGCCCCACTTAATGGGCTACATAGTCTCTCCACTGTAGGTTGTAACGGGTTTTCCTAGGTTTTTCCTTAAGCTATAGTAGCTCAACGGTCGGTATTTATCTTTCGGTTAATCCAGCGGTAATCTCGGGCGCCACCCTCAGGATTAAAGTGGTTGAGGGCCCACTAGCACCAGGTAGCTTGTTACAGTGGAGAAAGAAAAAAACCAGGGGTCAATGCTCAGACAAAGGAATAAAACAATTATGGGTAGATAATCAACAAATAAACTATTTATTACTCATTGTGTAATAACAAAGGAAAAGAATAATGAAAACTCAAATATGTTGGATAATACCTTAACCAAATTGTCCCTAAATTATAACAGCTCCTCATAGGGCAAAGTGTACGGGTAAAAGAGAGAGAGAGAGAGTGGTCGTGTGTGCGGTCGATTATGGTACGGATATCAGCGTAAAAGCGGAAAGCGGTAAATATACAGTTACGGTAAAAAGCCGGCGGTTGTGCGGTTACGGTAAAAAAACTGCGAAGCGGAAATAAGCTCTCTATGTTCAGAACCAGGCCCCGAAAGCTTCTCGCGACAAATTCGGAATCGCGTGTCAGTGGGGTAGAAAGTATAACTGATCTATGTCCGTACGTTCAGCCAGGACATAAGGAATGCGAATATCCTGCCGGACTTGTCTGTTCGTACAGCCGAGACTTGTCCTGATCAGTCTACCCACTATCCAACTCTTTTCGGTACGGTGCGCGGTGTTTCGGAGCCAGAACTGAACGGTACAAATGTAAACAATAAACCCAGCATCGGCCTTTAATGCATTTAGTACATTTTCGGAAGAAGGGTAGGATACACAGCTGGTCTATGTCAGTACATTCAGCCGAGACATAAGGATTACCTGATGAAAGTGGTAGTCCTGCTGGATTTGTCCGTTCGTGCAGCCAGGACTTATCCTGACCAGTGTATATACCAACCAACTCCTTTCGCGGGTTTTAGCAGGTTAGAAGATATAACTGATCTATGCCCGTACGTTCAACCAGGACATAAGGAATGTGAATATCCTGCCGGACTTGTCTGTACGTACAGCCGTGACTTGTCCTGATCAGTCTACCTCCTAACCTACTCCTTTAGAAGCGGACGCGGCACATTACGGACCTAGGCTGTGTCGCGTAGGGTGCTAGAATTACCTTTTATCCGGACGGCGGTCGGGCGGTGTGTGCGGCGGTCTAGCAGGCGGTCGGTCGGTGTACGGGGGAGATCTCAGAATGCTCTCCAGCAGGCGGTAGGTGTCGGTCGGAGGAGATCGCGGAATGATCTCCTTGACTGGAGGCCGCGCTGGGGAATTTATAGTCGGCAGATCGGCGCGCGTTTCGGTAGGCAATAGTGGGAGACGCGGTGGGGCGCGCGCTTAATGCCGGTTTACATTTTGCGGACTATTTCGGAGACGCGTACACATTTTATAAATATTATAATATCCAAATAATTAAATCAAACTAAATTTAATACTTACGTGGACCCTGTAATTATAAAGTAATGAAAAACAATAGTAACATCGTTACAAGGTACTGGACAAAAACAATAATTGGTGGAGCAGAATGAAGCAGAATGGGAGCAAAATTATGGGATATATTTCATTAAGGAAAATTTAGTGGGGGAATCCGGAAAAAATCCGGGCGCCAAGGAAAGTTCGCCGCAGACGCCACGTGGAAGGCAAACAATTTTTTTCGGTGCCACGCCCAAAAACGTCTTGTTCAAGAGTTTTAAAAGAAAGATACAACAGGAACATTCCACCCGAATAAATACATTTTCCTAGAGCCGTGCGGAAAAATCGATTTTCCGCACTGATATGCGTGCGGAAAATGAGTTTTCCCGCACGGTGCGGTAAAACTTTTTTTTTTGACATACCAGTGCGGAAAAAGTTTTTCCGCGCGGCTGTCAGTGCGGATAAAATTTTACCGCACTGATATGTCAAAAAAAAAAGAAAAATTTTACATTTTTTAGCCTGTAGGAAAAATATTGTCCTAACACTTGCGGAAAATATTTTTCCGCACGCGGCTGCCGTTCACCGAACGACGCGTAGCGGAGTTCGGTGATTCATTTGTGAATTCATTTTCCGCACTTGTTAGAGGTAAATAGCTATTTCATTTCGACATTTCGAAAAGGTATTATGAAACGTTCAAATCGAATTGTAAACTGCGAACATAACATAACCGTAAACACTTAGAAAAAATGTGAATCGTGAATCGGTGATTCCCCGAAATCCCGCGCCTAGGCCCCAAGGATAATACACACTACTACTACTGGATAGCTTATCCTCATAAGGCCTGTGTAGATCAAATCTCATGCCTACCACGCCAAAAAAAGAGCCAGTGATGACGTAGACAGCGTATCGTTTCTCGCCTTGACGTAGGGTGTTTGTACCACATCAGGTATGTCCGCGAGCTTTTGCTTTTATGCATACTTGGTTTTATTCAGTAAATTAAATTAACATTCTAAAACAACGCTTTTTTGGATCTGGTTTGCTTCTTCCCCTTTGCCTATTATGTTCTCCCATGTTATGGGATGTATTCCTCAAATATGGAGAAGGGCAAAACTCACTTTCATTTTCATTCCAAAGGCAGACAGGAAGGATGGGACAGACCCCAAATCCTTCAGACCAGTAAGCCTCACATTGTTCATTCTAAAGACAATGGAAACGGCAGTAGATAATTATATCCTTGGAAAGGTGGCCTTCGAACGCAAATC